TCCCTGGCCCGCTCCCCCCGTCAGGGTTTGCCTTGTGCCGGGGCCGAGGTTCCCGGCCCGTTCTGTTTGTTTTGTGAAGGGTCTCGTGGTCCTGCCGTTGTTTGCACAAGTTCCAGACACGCAGTTTTGAGATACAGGACATCTAAATGGCTTGTCTGGGGGATGCTGTAGAATCTTCAGCCCTCCCCAGCTCGGTAGCCGGGCCTGTGAAGTCGGTGGCATTGCACCCTGGTGGCCTTTCCAAAATTCGTTTCCCCGCAGTGACGGTGGCTGAGGAGCAGTAAGGGTGACCAGTATCTGCTGAGATTGTGGGCTGTCACTGCTTTACTCTTTGTAGTGTCAAGGACAGCAGAGAACTTAAGCTAAAGCTGTGTCAGTGTGTGCCACAGTGGGTCTGTTACGTGACCCAGCGATTACCTAAAACCTGAAAAGATTGGTAATTTAGCAAATACTCATATTGGACAATAGAGAACCTACAGACTTTGTGGAGGGGCTGACATTAAGAGGCTCAGTGTCACTGTAAGTTCTTGGTTGTAATTCTTGTTTGTTTCCATTCTAGATAAACATCTGATAAAAGAAGATGGTAGAAAGACAGTTGTAAGTATTTGCATTTTGTTCAGAAAGCCATGTGAATCCCACAGCCTCTTATTTTATTGTGGTCTGAGTGTATGTGTATAATTAACCATTGGACGTGGCTGTTTTACTGAGGGCTGTACAGGTGGTGGGTCCATTACTGGGTCTTAGTGCAAAGCCACACTCATCTAGTTCTGTAAATTGCAATGAAATTGTGAGGAATTTGTGCAAGTGCTGTAGGTACAGGTGTCAGTCTGGGGCCAGTGCTGCCTGTGGAGCACTGCAGTTGCCCCATACAACCCTGTCTGTGAGGTTTGGGGTTTTTGTTGTTGGTTTTTTTTTCCTTTTGTAAATTCTAGTGCTCACTGCTGTATTTGGAATCTCATTATTTTAAGCTATAAATTATTTTAAGAAAACTGAAACAAAATTATCTTAGTTTATTTTAATTGTGCAGATTTCTGAAAATAAAAACTTAATGCATCTTAAGGTTTACACTATCTATTTAATGGATACTTAATTGTTATTCAGTTGGCATTTATTTTAAGTTGCAAGTTAAGTTGAAGACTCTGAGGTGAGTTGTGGCAGATGTGTGGAGGAGCAGCAGCTGCAGGTGACCCTCTGAAGCTCTTGTGGGCCATGGGAAGGGGACGGGCAGCTGGAGGCACGGGCAGGCAGTGGCTCTGCAGGGTACCCGCGGTAAGGCTGCCCCTTGCCTGGTAAGGAGATGGTTGGTAAATGTATGTCAGGGAGAGAAAAAGTGGTGGTTTTTGGGGAATCACAAAATCCAAACATCCCCAAGTGTCTTCCTGTAAAATAATCTGTTTATGTTGTAAGGAAATAGTATGCTTGCTATGGAAAGAGTATATTTTCATATATGCTGTTGGCTACCATGCGATAGCACAGTTCTTAATGGTGATACTGTTCTTCATCAGATATGTATCGAGGGGAACATTGCAAGTGGAAAAACAACGTGCCTGGATTATTTTGCACAAACTACCAGCATTGAGGTACTGGATGTACGTTTCTTCATCTTTATTTACATCAGTAAGCAGTTGCTTGTCTTGACAAAACTGACAGTTAGCTTAGAAGTGTTGTCCTTTCTTAGGCTAATGAGAAAGGAGCGGCAGGTTGTGAGCCAGTGCACTTACTGATGTACATATTTAGCCCCCCTTTCCCCAACTATTTATAGTCAAATTCTAGAAGAGAAATGTAGATCATATGTACTAAAGTACTGGGTGCCAAAATATCAGTAAAAACTGTGGATGAGAGTTTGTATCTCTGTAAAGTAACAGCAGCCCACATGGGCTGGGCATGTTTGGGCATGCCTGTCTGCTCCTTGATGTCACTTAAATCTTAGATGTATCTTGTAATCAGCAAAGTAAAGAGAAAGAAGTAATGATGTAAAAATACTGATGTCATGTAACTGAGACCCCAGTAAATGGATGGCTTTTTTAAAAAAATGAAAAATCTGTTAGAATTGTGCCTGGGGATTTCTGAGACTGTTACGGTATTTGATTTCATACTGCTTAGAACAAGATTAGGGGAAGGGCAGGCTTACTGTATTTGAAACAAAATCCAGATCAAACCTCAGTGAGCAGTTGCTTTTGTGTACATCAGGTGTTCATACTTTTCCTGGCAGACCTGGGAACACATTTGAGAATGAGTCTTAGGATTCCTCATAGAAATGCTGGGTTGCCAGATGCTCTTTGGTATTTTAACAGGAATGATCCTTATGGTAACTATTAACCCAAAGGAAAGCAAACTTTCATTTGCATGTAGTGCAGCATTTTTTAAAAAGCTCGTTAACCGCCCAGGCTTATCAGATGCTCTTAGGCCTGGCTCTCCAGTGTCATTGGAGTTTTAGACCCTGTTTGAACCAGATAAATCTCTTGTGATTTTACCTATCCAGGGTAGAAGCTTTTCTGATTAATTTCGTAGAAGTTTTGAATCCTTTTTGTTTGTTAGATCACAAAAATAAAAGTAATACAGTAGCTTTCTGATCCTCTCTTCCTTTGCTGACAAGTGTTTCTCTCTGAGAAATTAATTTGTGAGGGAATGAGCAGGTCATTGAAATGCAGTCAGTACTCTGCTAAGCCATTCTTTCCCTGACATCGTATTGATTTTGACTCAAAAAAGTGAAATTATATCCAGGCTGGTTAGCTAATCAATCCAGTGTTTTATTTTGACAAGTTTAAAAATGCTAAAAAGATGTTGGGGAATTATATGAATTATATTTCTCTATTTTTAACAGTGTTGATTATTACCTTTTGTAAAACAGGATTCAGTGCTGGTTTTGAAAGAGGGGTGAGCTTTCCAATAGAAGTCCCGAATACTCTGACTTACGGAACGAGTATTCATTAAAAATAGTTGTAGACTTGTAGGGTCAAGTTATGTATTTTGAATCTAAAACATGTTTAACATGGAGTAATTCTTTTTAACGAGGTTTTGACAGAACCAGTGACTAAGTGGAGGAATGTTCGTGGTCATAATATCCTGGTAAGTAGAAATTAATTCTACAATTACCTGTTCTCTTAAAAAGACATGCATGAGGACTTGTTACCAATCAGCAAAACTGTTACAAGAGGTGTGCTCATAATCTCATACAGTGAAAAATAAAGCTCCGTGATGCAAAAGATCTTTTACTGTGATTAAGACATGCCTGTAATAGAAACACTGCATATAAAATGGGGTTTTGTCAAGGACCGGGTCTTTTATTGGTTATGAGCTAATGAAACTCACAGGAAGGTAAGTCCTGAGCGCGACAGTTGTTCCCAAATCTGCTTATGCCTATTTCAAAGAAAGGAAAAATGTTTTTGCTATTCTCAGAAAGTGAGAGGTGGATCTGATGAGTTACTGTTTGACTGCTGAAGATACAGAAAATTCAGTCCTGTGAGGTGTTGAGAGCTTCTCTTGTCTTTTGGGCAATCATCACTTCTTGGAACCATTCCCACAAACGTGTCCTTTTGTCACAGCTGTGCTTGGAGATAGCACTGAAGGCTCTGATTACATCTGCAGATACGCTTTTGCTGGGGTGATTGAAGTGGTTTTTGATGTCAGTCTTCCCTGCTTGTGTGATCACCTCCATTGCAAAAATCTCATTGCTGTCCGAGATGGGTATCTATGCTCAAGCTCATGTGGAATTTGCTGGCAACACAGCAGTGTGGATACACCCCAAACCACATGTGCCCAGACGTGTATTTGATGCAATTACTCTAGCATAGGTCCTCTGGAAAAGTAAATTCTCCCTACTAGGAGTTGCTGATGCTTTACTTTCTTAATATTAGTAAAGGGATGTGGGCATGCTTAGCTGTGTTGCACATCAGCACGTCCATCTGCACTTCAGAGGACTTTCCCA